TCCTGGGCTCTCTGTGGTTTATTGTTACACCCTTCTAGTCAGCCTCCCGCATTTTCAAATTGATAACCTCCCAAGATATTAAATATAAAAAACGATTTGATTAAATTACTAAGTATAGCAAATCAATACAAGGTGGTGAAGCTAGGGGTACTCACCACCTTGAAGGTGGTGAAGCTAGGGGTGCTCACCACCTTGAAGGTGGTGAAGCTAGGGGTGCTCACCACCTTGACTTTGTTAACCAGACTAAGGATTCGATAATATATTGGCATAATGGCTGCCTGCTATCGTGACATCGTGCAGTTCTGTCGGGATATCCCAAAAGTTGTGAGTAAACGTTTGTGTTATATTCATTTCGGAATCCTGATTTGTTTTGTTAATGTTGAGCCTCGCATGTGCGGCGTTGATCAATCGCCATCGAGCAATTGTTGCATTGTGGACCGGGTAGGGATTTTACTAGCCCACTAACTGTGGAGGTGTAGATGTAGTTCAAGGTGTACATTGTAGATGTAGTTCAAGGTGTAGATGTAGTTCAAGGTGTAGATGTAAGATGATATACATCTGCAACAAGAGAACTGGTGATGTTATGAACCATAACTGCCTCAGCACAAAGGCTGTTGTATAATACTAGGTAATGTAAAGGGAAATGTATTGTAGTGTTACCTCTGTGTAATTTACAATATATCTGAATTAACCTTCACTGTGAAGGACAATATGGCAGTAGAAGCCAAGCTGGGCACATTTTGCGAAATAGTAGTTAGTTAGAATTACCAGACATTGTGGGATATCGAAATATGGATGATAAACAGCAAGTGATATTTCCAGAGATATAGTTGGAATTAAAGTGAAGAAGTGGCCTATTACCAATAATCCATGAAACATACTCACACATATCTGTCTTATTGTGTTGGGCAAAGCTGTCATGCACACAATCATAATAACTGGAAATGGTTTCACAACGAAAAAAAGTGTTATTGTGTAAATAATTATGAACAATAAAAACTAAAATTGAGAAAAACTATGAACAATAAATAATGAAAGTCTGTGATTTTCTGTACAGTTTTCAGAAAATTATTAACCGAACCATAACATTTATAAAAAGCACAGTGCTGAGATTCACTTCGAGTATATCTGATCTTACAATTGCATATGAGTCGTCAAAACGTACAGTTTGGTGACATAAGTAAACTTGTATAGTTTCAATACGCATACAACCACCCATATACTAGTATATTTTGACAATAAACCCATCTTTCACATTGTGCAAATACAAACAAGACATTAAACCTTCCTGATAGTAACATGTAAGCGTTGTATAAACCCGAATGAAAAGTCCGGAGTCACGGCGAATACTTCTATCGAGTCGCCCATTTAAAAACCTCTTCAACTAGCCAAGACCAATCACTAATGTGTGGGGTCATTAATTAAATAATATTAAATTTATTTTTAAATTTATTAAAATAGTATTAAAATTAATACTTACACATTCCCCGGAAAGAAAGAATAAAGGTTAAAAAATTAAATAAATGAAATAAAATAAAATAAAGAAATAAAAAAAACTAAGCTAATACATTACTGTAACACTGGGGTTGTTGTCTTATTTCAAAACACTTCTTTAGGTACCTTGCTACGGGGAGTGTTAAGCCACTGTTGTTTAGCAAGACTATGAATTGTGTCTTTGGTGACAAATTTTGAAAATTTTGGTTTGTGCCATTTAAATTTGCCAAATAAGACATTTCTATCAGGGGTATAACTTTTGCATGACATCATTAGGTGATACTCATCTTCTACTTGATTCTGATCACAAAGGTTGCATAATCTATTAGCAAGGGGTATTCCGTTGTGTCTGCCAGTCTCCATTTTCAAGTTATGGTCACTGAGGCGGAATTATTTAAATTATCGCACATCTCAATATTTTGCAGGGTAAACAATGAAATTCAATCAAATTTAAATATGTAATTGTTATTGACATGAAAGAGTTCAACACTGGCAATGCTCCCACTGTGCACACATGTCATATCTGAATGTGACATTCTGTCTGCAACCACCCCTCATTCAACACTGGCAATGCTCCCACTGTGCACACATGTCATATCTGAATGTGACATTCTGTCTGCAACCACCCCTCATTCAACACTGGCAATGCTCCCACTGTGCACACATGTCATATCTGAATGTGACATTGTGTCTGCAACCACCTCTCATTCAACACTGGCAATGCTCCCACTGTGCACACATGTCATATCTGAATGTGACATTGTGTCTGCAACCACCTCTCATTCAACACTGGCAATGCTCCCACTGTGCACACATGTCATATCTGAATGTGACATTCTGTCTGCAACCACCCCTCATTCAACACTGGCAATGCTCCCACTGTG